GTATGAGAGGCAGTAATATTAGTGATAGTAGACGTAGTATGAGGTAGCAGTAGCGGTAGTATGAGAGGCAGTAATATTAGTGATAGTAGACGTAGTATGAGGTAGCAGTAGTGGTAGTATGAGAGGCAGTAATAACAGTGATAGTAGATGTAGTATGAGGTAGCAGTAGTGGTAGTATGAGAGGCAGTAATAACAGTGATAGAAGACGTAGTATGAGGTAGCAGTAGTGGTAGTATGAGAGGCAGTAATAACAGTGATAGTAGATGTAGTATGAGGTAGCAGTAGTGGTAGTATGAGAGGCAGTAATAACAGTGATAGAAGACGTAGTATGAGGTAGCAGTAGTGGTAGTATGAGAGGCAGTAATATTAGTGATAGTAGACGTAGTATGAGGTAGCAGTAGCGGTAGTATGAGAGGCAATAATATTAGTGACAGTAGACGTAGTATGAGGTAGCAGTAGTGGTAGTATGAGAGGCAGTAATATTAGTGATAGTAGACGTAGTATGAGGTAGCAGTAGCGGTAGTATGAGAGGCAGTAATATTAGTGATAGTAGACGTAGTATGAGGTAGCAGTAGCGGTAGTATGAGAGGCAGTAATATTAGTGATAGTAGACGTAGTATGAGGTAGCAGTAGTGGTAGTATGAGAGGCAGTAATAACAGTGTTAGTAGACGTAGTATGAGGTAGCAGTAGTGGTAGTATGAGAGGGAACATTCTACACGTATTGTCATCCTTCATCATAACCCCGAGGGTCTCCTGTCACCCCAATATACTCTCACATACACCTCTTGCTCTCCGTCCGCCCTCCTCTCCTCGCTATTTGTACTGGCACCCAGTCTCCTCCCAGGCTGTGCCTGCGCTCACTCACACTGTGCCTGCACTCACTCACACTGTGCCTGCACTCACTCACACTGTGTCTGCACCCACACTGTGCCTTCACCCACACTGTGCCTGCACCCACACTGTGCCTGCACCCACACTGTGCCTGCACCCACACTGTGCCTGCACTCACTCACACTGTGCCTGCACTCACTCAAACTGTGCCTGAACTCACTCACACTGTGCCTGCACTCACTCACACTGTGCCTGCACTCACTCACACTGTGCCTGCACTCCCACTGTGCCTGCACTCACTCACACTGTGCCTACACTCACTCACACTGTGCCTGCACCCACACTGTGCCTGCACTCACTCACACTGTGCCTGCACTCACTCACACTGTGCCTGCACCCACACTGTGCTTGCACTCACTCACACTGTGCCTGCACTCACTCACTCTGTGCCTGCACTCACACTGTGCCTGCACTCACACTGTGCCTGCACTCATTCACACTGTGCCTGCACTCATTCACACTGTGCCTGCACTCATTCACACTGTGCCTGCACTCACTCACACTGTGCCTCCACCCACACTGTGCCTGCACTCACTCACACTGTGCCTGCACTCACTCACACTGTGCCAGCACTCACTCACACTGTACCTGCACTCACTCACACTGTGCCTGCACTCACTCACACTGTGCCTGCACCCACACTGTGCCTGCACCCACACTGTGCCTGCACTCACTCACACTGTGCCTGCACTCACTCACACTGTGCCTGCACTCACTCACACTGTGCCTGCACTCACTCACACTGTGCCTGCACTCATACTGTGCCTGCACTCACTCACACTGTGCCTGCACTCATACTGTGCCTGCACTCACACTGTGCCTGCACTCATACTGTGCCTGCACTCATACTGTGTCTGCACTCACACTGTGCCTGCACTCATACTGTGCCTGCACTCACTCACACTGTGCCTGCACTCACTCACACTGTGCCTGCTCTCACTCACACTGTGCCTGCACTCACTCACACTGTGCCTGCACTCACTCACACTGTACCTGCACTCACTCACTCACAATGTGCCTGCACTCACTCACTCACACTGTACCTGCACTCACTCACTCACACTGTGCCTGTACTCACTCACTCACACTGTGCCTGCACTCACTCACTCACTGTGCTTGCACTCACTCACACTGTGCCAGCACTCACTCACACTGTGCCAGCTCTCACTCACACTGTACCTGCACTCACTCACTCACACTGTGTCTGCACTCACTCACACTGTGCCTGCACTCACTCACTCACTGTGCCTGCACTCACTCACACTGTGCCTGCACTCACTCACTCACACTGTGCCAGCACTCACTCACACTGTGCCTGCACTCACTCACACTGTCTCTGGCACTCACTCGCACTGTGCCTGCACTCACTCACACTGTCTCTTGCACTCACTCACACTGTGTCTGCACTCACTCACACTGTGTCTTCACTCACTCACACTGTCTCTTGCACTCACTCACACTGTGCCTGCACTCACTCACACTGTGCACTCACTCACTCACACTGTGTCTGCACTCACTCACACTGTGTCTTCACTCACTCACACTGTCTCTTGCACTCACTCACACTGTGTCTTCACTCACTCACACTGTGCCTGCACTCACTCACACTGTGCCTGCACTCACTCACACTGTGCACTCACTCACTCACACTGTGTCTGCACTCACTCACACTGTGTCTGCACTCACTCACACTGTGTCTGCACTCACTCACACTGTGTCTGCACTCACTCACACTGTGCCTGCACTCACTCACACTGTGTCTTCACTCACTCACACTGTGCCTGCACTCACTCACACTGTGTCTTCACTCACTCACACTGTGTCTGCACTCACTCACACTGTGCCTGCACTCACTCACACTGTGTCTTCACTCACTCACACTGTGCCTGCACTCACTCACACTGTGCCTGCACTCACTCACACTGTGCCAGCACTCACTCACACTGTGTCTTCACTCACTCACACTGTGCCTGCACTCACTCACACTGTGCCTGCACTCACTCACACTGTGCCAGCACTCACTCACACTGTGTCTTCACTCACTCACACTGTGTCTGCACTCACTCACACTGTGTCTTCACTCACTCACACTGTGCCTGCACTCACTCACACTGTGCCTGCACTCACTCACACTGTGCCTGCACTCACTCACACTGTGCACTCACTCACTCACACTGTGTCTGCACTCACTCACACTGTGCCTGCACTCACTCACACTGTGCCTGCACTCACTCACACTGTGCCTGTACTCACTCACACTGTGCCTGCACTCACTCACTCACACTGTGCCTGCACTGACTCACACTGTGCCTGCACTCACTCACTCACACTGTGCCAGCACTCACTCACTCACACTGTGCCAGCACTCACTCACACTGTGTCTGCACTCACTCACACTGTGCCTGCACTCACTCACACTGTGTCTTCACTCACTCACACTGTGCCTGCACTCACTCACACTGTGTCTTCACTCACTCACACTGTGTCTGCACTCACTCACACTGTGCCTGCACTCACTCACACTGTGTCTTCACTCACTCACACTGTGCCTGCACTCACTCACACTGTGTCTTCACTCACTCACACTGTGTCTGCACTCACTCACACTGTGCCTGCACTCACTCACACTGTGTCTTCACTCACTCACACTGTGCCTGCACTCACTCACACTGTGCCTGCACTCACTCACACTGTGCCAGCACTCACTCACACTGTGTCTTCACTCACTCACACTGTGCCTGCACTCACTCACACTGTGCCTGCACTCACTCACACTCTGCCAGCACTCACTCACACTGTGTCTTCACTCACTCACACTGTGTCTGCACTCACTCACACTGTGTCTTCACTCACTCACACTGTGCCTGCACTCACTCACACTGTGCCTGCACTCACTCACACTGTGCCTGCACTCACTCACACTGTGCCTGCACTCACTCACACTGTGCACTCACTCACTCACACTGTGTCTGCACTCACTCACACTGTGCCTGCACTCACTCACACTGTGCCTGCACTCACTCACACTGTGCCTGTACTCACTCACACTGTGCCTGCACTCACTCACTCACACTGTGCCTGCACTGACTCACACTGTGCCTGCACTCACTCACTCACACTGTGCCAGCACTCACTCACTCACACTGTGCCAGCACTCACTCACACTGTGCCAGCACTCACTCACACTGTGTCTTCACTCACTCACACTGTGTCTGCACTCACTCACACTGTGTCTTCACTCACTCACACTGTGTCTGCACTCACTCACACTGTGTCTTCACTCACTCACACTGTGCCTGCACTCACTCACACTGTGCCTGCACTCACTCACTCACACTGTGCCAGCACTCACTCACTCACACTGTGCCAGCACTCACTCACACTGTGTCTTCACTCACTCACACTGTGTCTGCACTCACTCACACTGTGTCTTCACTCACTCACACTGTGCCTGCACTCACTCACACTGTGTCTTCACTCACTCACACTGTGTCTGCACTCACTCACACTGTGCCAGCACTCACTCACACTGTGTCTTCACTCACTCACACTGTGTCTGCACTCACACTGTGTCTTCACTCACTCACACTGTGCCTGCACTCACTCACACTGTGTCTGCACTCACTCACACTGTGTCTTCACTCACTCACACTGTGCCAGCACTCACTCACACTGTGTCTTCACTCACTCACACTGTGTCTGCACTCACTCACAATGTGTCTTCACTCACTCACACTGTGTCTGCACTCACTCACACTGTGTCTTCACTCACTCACACTGTGCCTGCACTCACTCACACTGTGCCAGCACTCACTCACACTGTGCCAGCACTCACTCACACTGTGTCTTCACTCACTCACACTGTGTCTGCACTCACTCACACTGTGCCAGCACTCACTCACACTGTGTCTTCACTCACTCACACTGTGCCAGCACTCACTCACACTGTGTCTTCACTCACTCACACTGTGTCTGCACTCACTCACACTGTGTCTTCACTCACTCACACTGTGTCTGCACTCACTCACACTGTGTCTTCTCTCACTCACACTGTGTCTTCACTCACTCACACTGTGCCTACACTCACTCACTCACACTGTGCCTACAGACCTGCCTGACGGGAGACCGGTGATCAAGGGCGTGAAGAGCCAGTACCTGCCGGTGGACTGGGTCGACCTCACCTGCGTCTCGCGGAGATCCAAGCCTCCGCCTCACCTGTCCTTCTCAATCAACACCCAGCCGGTGAGTCCTTGTGTCTATATTGACTACTGGTGACTGCAGAAGCTATTCTCTTTCTCTTTTTCTTCTATTATGTCAACTATATATATATATATATATATATATATATATATATATATATATATATATATATATATATATATATATATATATATATATATATATATAAACAAACCCACACCCACACACACACACTCATTCTCCAAGATGCGTGTGCCTGAAAGTAGTCCGTAGCAGCTGTAGCTCTTTGGTCCCACCTCTCAACCGTCAATCAACAGGTGTTCAGATTCCTGAGCCTACTGGGCTCTATCATATCTACATTTGAAACTGTGAATGGAGTCAGCCTCCACCACATCACTGCCTAATGCAGTGTGTATGTGTATGTGTTTACCTATATATACATGCGAGGTCGAGCTTCAGCTTAAAAGGTCAGCCTCTGCTGTTATTAATTAATGCAGTACATGCAACTTGTAATATTTTCCTCCAAAGCCATGTATATAGACATCTTCAAAAACATTTAATTTGAACTCGTTCCATTTAACTATAACTCTTATGCTGTAGAATTCTTCTTCGCATCTTTGTAACTCATTTGTGTCTATAATTTATGTCCCTTCGTTCCATTGTTTCCCATTCTTAAAATTGCTTTTTGCCTATAGAATTCTAATTGGTCTATTACGCATGATTTTCCTTCCCTGAAGATATCTTCGTGGCGCCCTCGTATCTGCGTATAATTTGATGAGAAATGTTCTAGTAGTATTATTAGTATATCAAATACTTCGCCTGTGAAGCTTGTCAGTGACATTGGGCTGTAGTTAAGTTCATCCTTTCTACCTCTTATATTGTATATCTGGACTACATGCGCTGTCTTCTAGCTGCTAGGCAACTCTCCTTTCAGTAGTGAATTATTTAAGATCAGTGCTAGAGGTATACTGAGGGCCAGTGCAGGTTCTTAAAACTTCCGTAGTGATGCGTTGTCTGGTCCTACAGCTTTTGTGGCATTATTTATTTATTTATTTAGTTAGTTATTTATATATATACAAAAAGGTACATTGCGATTGTGAGGATACATAGTATAGTAATTACAATATTGTAAAGCCACTAGTACGCGCAGCGTTTCGGGCAGTCCTCGTATCCTCGTAGTCCTCCATTAAGTGCCTCCAGTTGCATCGTTACTTCCTCTGTTGTTGTCTCAATGTTTGACAGTCTCTACTCTTTCCTCTCTTACATTTGGAAGCTGTTCCGGTTCAGTCGTGAATACCATAATGAAGCTGGCATTTAGTTCCTCGCAGACCTCCTTGTTGTGTGTCTTGAGTTCTCTCGTCTTGCTCAGTCTAGTTACTTGGTCATTTACTGTCAGTTCTTAACTTCTAATATGGTTACGGAGCAGCTTTGCTTGTTTCATTAGCTATGAATGTAATAGCTTTTTTATACATTTTTCTGTTAATCTTCTAATGTTTATATATTCGTTTCTAGCTCTGTTGCATATATTTCGGTTCTCTTTTGTCCTCTGTTCTCATGAGTTTTTCCACTTCTCCTTTTGCTTCATTGGCATTGTCTGCTAACCACGAGTTCTTCAATTACCGTCCGCACTTATGGCTATACAGACTAAGAGCTACATGAAGATACAAAACAAAATGTCAAAACCCTGATATTGGAGGAATGAGGACATTCTAGGGAATAATTGGAGGAGAAAGCCCAGCACAACAGATACTCGTACCAGTGACGGGGAAAGTGAGAGAAAGTTTGGACAGGGCTGGAAGGGGTCTTTGTAAATGTTGAAAGAGAGGCACAGAAACTTCAGAAAGTTTATTTGCGGGTCTGAGTGTGTGTATGTGTGTGTGTGTGTGTGCGTGTGTGTGTGTGTGTGTGTGTGTGTGTGTGTGTGTGTGTGTGTGTGTGTGTGTGTGTGTGTGTGTGTGTGTGTGTGTGTGTGTGTGGGTGTGTGTACTCATCAATTTGTGCTTGCGGGGGTTGAGCTCTGGCTTTTTGGTCCCGCCTCTCAACCGTCAATCAACTGATGTACAGATTCCTGAGCCTACTGGGCTCTATCATATCTACATTTAAAACTGTGTATGGAGTCAGCCTCCACCACATCACTGCCTAATGTATTCCACCTGTTAACTACTCTGACACTGAAAAAGTTCTTTCTAACGTCCCTTTGGCTCATTTGGGTACTCAGTTTCCACCAGTGTCCCCTTGTTCGTGTACTACCAGTGTTAAATAGTTTATCCTTGTCTACCCTGTCAATTCCCCTGAGGATTTTGTAGGTAGTGATCAAGTCTCCCCTTACTCTTCTGTCTTCCAGTGTCGTAAAGTGCATTTCCCGCAGTCTTTCCTCGTAACTCATGCTTCTTAGTTCTGGGACTAGTAGCATACCTCTGTACTTTTCTCAGCTTCGTCTTGTGCTTGACAAGGTACGGGCTCCATGCTGGGGTCGCATACTCCAGGATTGGTCTTACATATGTGGTGTACAAGATTCTGAATGATTCCTTTCACAGGTTCCTGAAGGCTGTTCTGATGTTAGCCAGCCTCCCATATGCCCCAGACGTAATTCTTTTTATGTGGGCTTCAAGAGACAGGTTTGGTGTTATATCAACTCCTAGATCTTTCTCTCTGTCCGTTTCATTAAGTACTTCATCTCCTATTCTGTATCCTGTGGTTGGCCTCCAGTTTCCACTGCCTAGTTTCATTACTTTGCATTTTCTCGGGTTGAACTTTAGCAGTCATTTGTTGGACCATTCATTCAGTCTGTCAAGGTCGTCTTGTAGCCTCCTACTATCATCCTCTGTTTCAATCCTCACAGTTTTTGCATCATCAGTAAACATTGAGAAAACGAGTCTATACTCTCTGGGAGAGGGTATAGACTTGTGTGTGTGTGTGTGTGTGTGTGTGTGTGTGTGTGTGTGTGTGTGTGTGTGTGTGTGTGTGTGTGTGTGTGTGTGTGTGTGTGTGTGTGTGTATTCACCTAGTTGTGTTTGCGGGGGGTTGAGCTTTGCTCCTTCGGCCCGCCTCTCAACTGTTTACTAACTACTTTTTTCACACCACACACACACCCCAGGAAGCAGCCCGTGACAGCTGACTAACTCCCAGGTAAATATTTACTGCTAGGTAACAGGGGCATTCAGGGTGAAAGAAACTTTGCCCATTTGTTTCTGCCTGGTCCGGGAATCGAACCCGCGCCAATGAATTACGAGTCCTGCACGCTATCCACTAGGCTACCAGGCCCCTCACACTGTGCCAGCACTCACTCACTCACACTGTACCAGCACTTACTCACTCACACTGTGCCAGCACTCACTCACACTGTGCCAGCACTCACTCACACTGTGCCAGCACTCACTCACTCACACTGTACCAGCACTCACTCACACAGTGCCAGCACTCACTCACTCACACTGTGCCAGCACTCACTCACACTGTGCCAGCACTCACCTGCGCCAGCACTCATTCACACTGTGCCAGCACTCACTCACACTGTGCCAGCACTCACTCACTCACTCACACTGTGCCAGCAGTTACTCACTCACACTGTGCCAGCACTCACTCACTCACACTGTGCCAGCACTCACTCACACTGTGCCAGCACTCACACTGCGCCAGCACTCATTCACACTGTGCCAGCACTCACTCACACTGTGCCAGCACTCACTCACTCACTCACACTGTGCCAGCACTCACTCACTCACACTGTGCCAGCACTCACTCACTCACTCACACTGTGCCAGCACTCACTCACACTGTACCAGCACTCACTCACACTGTACCAGCACTCACTCACACTGTGCCAGCACTCACTCACACTGTGCCAGCACTCATTCACACTGTGCCAGCACTCACTCACACTGTGCCAGCACTCACTCACACTGTGCCAGCACTCACTCACACTGTGCCAGCACTCACTCACTCACACTGTACCAGCACTCACTCACACTGCGCCAGCACTCATTCACACTGTGCCAGCACTCACTCACTCACACTGTGCCAGCACTCACTCACTCACTCACACTGTGCCAGCACTCACTCACACTGTACCAGTACTCACTCACACTGTGCCAGCACTCACTCACACTGTGCCAGCACTCATTCACACTGTGCCAGCACTCATTCACACTGTGCCAGCACTCACTCACACTGTGCCAGCACTCACTCATTCACACTGTGCCAGCACTTACTCACTCACACTGTGCCAGCACTCACTCACACTGTGCCACCACTCACTCACACTGTGCCAGCACTCACTCACACTGTGCCAGCACTCATTCACACTGTGCCAGCACTTACTCACTCACACTGTGCCAGCACTTACTCACTCACACTGTGCCAGCACTCACTCACACTGTGCCAGCACTCACTCACACTGTGCCAGCACTTACTCACTCACACTGTGCCAGCACTCACTCACACTGTGCCAGCACTCACTCACACTGTGCCAGCACTCACTCACACTGTACCAGCACTCACTCACACTGTGCCAGCACTCACTCACACTGTACCAGCACTCACTCACACTGTACCAGCACTCATTCACACTGTACCAGCACTCACTCACACTGTGCCTGCACTCACTCACACTGTGCCAGCACTCATTCACACTGTGCCAGCACTCACTCACTCACTCACACTGTGCCAGCACTCACTCACTCACACTGTGCCAGCACTCACTCACTCACACTGTGCCAGCACTCATTCACACTGTGCCAGCACTCACTCACTCACACTGTGCCAGCACTCACTCACTCACACTGTGCCAGCACTCACTCACTCACACTGTGCCAGCACTCACTCACTCACTCACTCACACTGTGCCAGCACTCACTCACACTGTGCCAGCACTCACTCACTCACTCACACTGTGCCAGCACTCACTCACACTGTGCCAGCACTCACTCACACTGTGCCAGCACTCACTCACTCACACTGTGCCAGCACTCACTCACACTGTGCCTGCACTCACTCACACTGTGCCAGCACTCACTCACTCACACTGTGCCAGCACTCACTCACTCATACTGTGCCAGCACTCACTCACTCACACTGTGCCAGCACTCACTCACTCATACTGTGCCAGCACTCACTCACACTGTGCCAGCACTCACTCACTCATACTGTGCCAGCACTCACTCACTCACACTGTGCCAGCACTCACTCACTCACACTGTGCCAGCACTCACTCACTCACACTGTGCCAGCACTCACTCACACTGTGCCTGCACTCACTCACACTTACGATTGAGTGTGTGTGTGTGTGTGTGTGTGTGTGTGTGTGTGTGTGTGTGTGTGTGTGTGTGTGTGTGTGTGTGTGTGTGTGTGTGTGTGTGTGTGTGTGTGTGTGTGTGTGTGCATTAATGTTCGTATAGCTAAAGATGAAGTGTGCTTGTATGATCCTGGTTCCACACCTTCAAACAGTCCTCACCATACCCGCCCTCTCGCTATGAACTGTGAAACATCACAACTAACATGTTATTAACCATATAATAATAATAATAATAATAACAGCAACAATTCTTTATTTTCAGCACAAAAAAGTTAAAGAGTGCCTCCTTAATGTGGCGTGCCTTGCAGGTGTCGGCGGGCTGGCTGGAACCGCAGGTGAACCAGCAGGACCACGACGGACTCACGACCGCCTCCCTGCGGCTGCGGTTCTCCCTTCAGCCGCGGCTCCTGCGGGAGGGAGACGCCAGGGTGCGGTGTGTCTCCAAGATCCCCGGCATCTACCAGCAGGAGGTCGAGGGGGTGCTGACCACCCGCACCCCCTACCACGCCTCCGTGCTGGGGGGCGGCGCTCCCCCAGGTACGCCATACGGGGGTAACTCGAGGGAGAGAGGCAGAACGGGAGAAACATAGGAGAAAAGGGAGAAAGACACGGAGAGAGGGAGAGAGAGGGACAGGTAGATATGTAGAAAAGAGAGGCTGATAGATCTGAAGAGGCTAGTAGAAACTGAGTAGCTAGTACGAATTGTAGATATAGTGTGATTGGTAGAATCTGGGAGAGATAGAGAGGCTAGTACAAAACTGGTAGGTGTACTGTCTCGTAAAAAATTATAGAGCTAGAGAGGCTGGTAGAGCCTGGTAGATCAAGGCAGGCTGGTAGAAATTGGTACATCTAGAGACTGGTAGAAATTGGTAGATATTATGATGCTTGTTGAAACTAACCGATCAAAGAAGGCTTGTAGAAACTGACATATCTCGAGGGGATAGTAGATAGAGTGATAGATATACAAAGGCTGGTAGAATTAAAAGCTTTACAGAGGCTGGTAGAAACTGGAAGATCTGAAGAAAAATACAGATTTCAAGGTTCAGTAGAAGAGAATATTATAAAATACATAATTCCAATCTCGTGATCTTTTAATCAACAAAGATATGAAATTATCATAACCAATGTTAAAAGCGGTTATTATCATTTTAACAAAATGTTTATACAATATTATGAAAACCTTACGATAGGAGATAATTAGAAGCACGTACAAACTAGCTAATTACCAAATTAAAGCTTGTGTTAATGACATTTTAATCAGATAATCACCAATGATTTTTAGTAAAATGATCATTAAAGTGATAAATAAAATAGGATTTATTTTATCACCTCACAAGATGTTATTAATGATTTATATATGTACTCTTCTTAATGGTAA